CGCCGCCGCCGCCGCCGCCGCCACCGCTGTCGTCGCCATCACCGCCGCCGCCACCGTCACCGCCGCTGCCACGCACGGCAATATTTTTGCGCCACACGCACCGCGTGCGTGCGTGCGTGCGTACGTACGTGCGTACGTACGTACGTGCGTACTGTTCGTCTCTTTTTTTCGACCTCTCTCCCGATGATGGAGGGAGAGAGCGGAAAATCGATCGAGCTGACGACCCTTCTTCTTTTACGAGCCTCGATAGCGCAGAAAAGCCGCCGGACCACACCCTACGACCTATCGTGACGCTTTGTCGATCGACCGACCAGTCAGCTTCGTCTTTCCGGACCTAAGGGTGGACCCTTCACCCTTTGTGTATCCACGGTACGCGGCTGAGGGGACGGGGTTGAGAACCGGAGGAGGCATGGTTACCGGCGCGCGTAAGGGAAGAAAGTCGAGGACGAGAGCGAGGAGATAAACTCCCCTCTTTCCCGCGTAATCTTCCTTCCTAATCAAAAGTACCGTGTGTTTGCCGAAGGAGGGATCTCGAGCTTTAGCATCCCCGCGGGACGCAACCAGACGGAAGGACACTAGCTTGAAGGATCGCGTTCGATCTTGTGCAAGGAGATACGTTTAATAATACAATACGCTCCTTCTTAAAGAGCTATTGTTACGCGCTTCTCGAACATGAAACCTTCCAACTTCTGTTCCCAGATGTTTAAATCTAGATTTAAATCTAAAGCTACCCGAGTTTAAATTTAAATTTACGTCGGAGACGTAAAATTACGTTGGAAAGATATAACGTGCAAATCAGCAATAGCTTTTAAATCTACGGAGAGAGATTTTGTTCGAGTATTTGGCTAGGTATAAACTTGAAAATAACTTGGGATTATCAAAATAACTACATAGAACATTTAAATATGATAATAATACTGCAAAAATTGTTGATATTCTAGCAATTCCAGCGTCCTACGTAATTATTTCAACAAAATTATTTTCAGATGTCAATCTAATCAAATTTTTCTATGCTTTAGCAAAAAAAAAAAACATTTCGTATCATATCATCTGAGATTTCTCTTATTAAAAGTTGAATTCTCTTTAATCACAGTTCTATTTTCTTTTTCTGATTAAAAGTTTTAAAGATGCAATTTAGAAGAATGTAAATGGATTAGAATGTCAGAAGTCTCAAAAAATAAAAAAACTCTAGTGACATAATTGTTAACTGAATTTATTAAATACTAATAAAATGCTAAGTGAATAAACTCGTCTCAGAATTAGGTTTATCTGTCCCGAAAAATAATACAAATAAAAATATAAAGAAATCTCAGAGTGCAATAAGTTATATTCTTTCCGATTTAAGATACTGAAATATTTTGTCTTCTTTTCGT